ATGTAATCTTCTATTAACCAATGTACTTCAACTCAGATTTATGTATGTAAAACTCTATCTATGTTATGTCTATGTCTGTATTTAATCTATGTCTAAAAAAATGTAAAACAAAATTGTAATACCAAACGGCGCTAATAACCACTTAGGTTGATGCGCCTTAATTGTAAATAAAAAAAAAATAATAATAATTTTTTATTTTTTTTATTCGTGTACATTTCAAAACGTATTCTCACACGTTATTAACTATTTTTTACTATTAACTTGGGGTGTGACCCTTAAACGAATCTTATAATACCTTTGCGACTAATAAATGGATCAGTTTTTGTAGTTACTTCGAACCTGAAGGATGGAATGAGATCAGCAGATGGAGGAAACAAATCTTGAGGTAAAATAAATCGACGAGAGAATTTAATGAAAAAGTAAATGGGTTCACAATACTGTAATCCCATTTAAGTAAACTTCTGCTCGTTTATAGCCGCTACCATTACGTGAAAATATCGTTTAACGATTATATTCCATTTTGTGGATAAAACTCGAACAAAAGAATTTATGAAATAATATAGGTTCTGAAAGTTATAAAACAAAGCAAAGTAATAAAATTGAAAGCTTGAAACTAAATTTAAAATTTAAATTTGTATTATTACTATTTTAGTCACGAAGTTTAAAAGAGGAATTTTAATAAGAAGAATTTTTACCTTGCGTGTGGTATAAGAGGGCATTCAACAAAATTAATACAATATATCGGTTGTTGAGACCTGACCCAATTTGCATATTATTATATTTTGAGTTACTGGGTAGTAACCACCGTCCTATTATCTAATTAACACATTAAATGCCATGTGACTTGTAATTAACTCACTCCCTCTTTGGACAAGGTGTTCTGTGAGTTAAACATAATTCCATAGACTATTGAGATTTTACGCTCTGTGGGAATTTACTCTATAGTTTATACGTTATTGATATGCAAATGATTTGTGCATGACCCCATAGTCAGATTACTGAAATTTACTTGCTGTGTTACATGAAAATTAATATCTTAATAGCCGTAAAAAATAAGATGCACAATTCATAGTATATCATTTTCATTTCAACAGTTTGAACGGATGGTATCTTATAAAAAAATTCAATTATATCTATTTTTAACTTTAGGATGCATAAGCAAATATTTCTACGTTATGCCATAACATGAGTCTCGCAGACTCGCTTTGTGGATAAAATACTAAAATAGATATTTTCTTTAATTGTCGTCGAAAAAGTAAATTGGTTCACAATACTGTAATCTTCTTTCATAAATACATTTATGAAAGAAAACAAACTTCTTCATACAAACTTCTTTTCATAAATAGTAAAACTAACTCATTTACTAAATCTTTGAGAAAGTATTGTCTTTTATTTGTTTTTTCTGCAGCAAAATTTTTATTTTAATTTGTATAAAGGAAAAACGCGTTAAAAGCTGCTACATCCATAATGTTATTGTTCTGAAGCTATTTTCTTGTAACATTGTAAATTAATTACTATTTAACTGGGAATAAGCCACAATTAAAGATAAAAATACGTTTATTGACGTTTCAATTTCCACTTCGGAAATCGTTCTCAAAATACAAACAGTAAATTAAACAAATTTTGTTTTTTTGTTACATAGTAAAACATTCTTCTAATAATTTAATTTTATCTAACTCATTTATATTGACAATTCAGACATGCATTATGCATTTTAAAGAAGACGACTTTAAAATGATATTGCCAATATTGTTGAGTTGCACTCCTGGGACTTTACTTATAAGATAGTTCATTCGATTACATGAAATTAACTTGAGAATATCCGTCAGAAAAAATCATAGCATGTAATTCGTCTTTAAAAAGACAAACACATGACATGATGACAGTAAAATTCCCCTGTTAGTGATTCCATAGTAAATTATGAGGGAAAAACCAGGAAAAAAACAACATAATACTATCCCGACATTGTAAGTATTTGTTCGTGAATTTAGTTTACCTTCAAGAAACATCAAAATTCTGATTTTATATGTTACTTTATTTAAAAAACATAAATGATGTATCCTCTATATATTATTGACTTACTAATACTGGTATTTTCTTATTAATAACTTCTTTTTTCAATATTGGTAACCATATTTAATATATTAATAAATAAATTTTATTTACGAATGTGCCATTAAATAAGACTTTAAGTATAGTCAAGACAAAATTAGAGAGTGATGATTCATTGGCAACTAGAACAAGACTAAACATATCGGCTATATTGGAGTTATTAACATTATGTACTGATAATACATATTTTCAACTAAATAATGAATTCTATGAACAAAATTTTGGTCTAGCAATAGGCTGTAGTTTATCTCCATTCTTAGCCGATGTATTTATGGAAGATTTTGAAACAACATTTCTAAACAAAATTTCAAACCCACAGTATGGTGGAGGTATGTAGATGATGTATTCTCAATATGGTCTCATGGATCAGAGTTTTTGGACACATTCCTAGATGATATAAACAATAAAGACGAGACAATAACATTTACCATGGAAAAGGAATATAATAACACGCTACTTTTCCTGGATGTTTTAATCTTTAAAAACGATACTGGATATGAGACTCAGGTGTATAGAAAATCAACACTCACCAATAGATATTTAAATTTCAAATCAAGTCACAATATTAATGTAAAAAAGGGAATAATTAAATCCTTATACGATAGAGCCAAAATTACTTCTTATTCTAACGAAAATTCGTTCTTGGAGAAGAAACATTTGTTAACATCTGTTTTATTAAAAAATGATTATTCTTTATCGATTATAAATAAGGAATTTTCAACAATCGATCGAATATAACAGAACAACTTAGAACGAGATCCTAAGGCATACACAAGGAATAATATGAGGAAAATAACAATACCGTACATAAAAGGATCATCAGAAAAACTTAAAAGGATAGGAAATAAATTGAACATTTCAACAACATTTAAAACAACAAACACGTTGAGACCTATTTTGTCCAAAATCAAACCTAACAATGAATAAGAAAGGACATTACATTTATAAAATACCTTGTGAATGCGATCAGTTTTATTTAGGTGAATCATCAAGGCCATTAAATGTTAGAATAAGTAAACATCAATCTTATATTAAAAATAGAGAATTTGATAGATCTCAAATATGTAAACACGCATGGGATAATGAACATAGGGTTCAATGGAATAATGCAAATGTAGTCCTAGAAGAAACGGATGGTAAAAAGAGAAAAATCAAAGAAGCGGCTCTAATTATGCTAAATGAGGCCAATTGTGTCGCAAATTCCTCGGCAGAATGTAGTAGGATCTGGTTACCAATATTGAAAGAGGAAGTTATAAGAAAATACCAGTATTAGTAAATCAGTAACATATAGAGGATACATCATTAATGTTTTTTAAATAACGTAACATATAATCATGCTATAATTTTTTCTGATGGATATTCTTAAGTTAAAGTTGATTTCATGTAATCGAATTAACTATCTTATAAGTAAAGTCGTCCCAGGAGCGCAACTCAACAATATTGGCAATATCATTTTAAAGTAGTCTACTTTAAAATGCATAATGTATGTCTGAATTGTCAATATAAATGAGTCAGATAAAATAAAATTATTAATAGAATTTTTCACTATGTAACAAAAAAACAAAATTTGTTTAATATACTGTTTGTATTTTAAGAACGATTTCCGAAGTAGAAATTGAAACGTCAATAAACGTATTTTTATCTTTAATTGTGGCTTATTCCCAGTTAAATAGTAATTAATCCATAATGTTGTACCAAACGGCAAGAGGCCAACGTCTAGTTTGACGCTTTACCAGATAGTTACCCTTGTCCATTTTATCAATTCCATCTTTGGTTTGGTTGTAAAATTTGATAATTTTGGACTTCTTTGCTTGACTTTCAATATCTACAGATTGATCAGGGTGCACTGAACTAAGAAAGAATGACAGCTTTATTTTTCTTTGTACTTACCACGTAATTTACCAAAGTCAAATTAACATTAAATCCAAAAATAAGAGAACCAACGCATCTTTCTGTTGAAGCTTGAAATTCATAGGGGATCTCTTTCTTATTTTTTCGTAATGTCCCAACACAAGTTATTTCTATAGACAGTAAATACTATGCTAAAGGGATGCTAGTAAAAAAGTTGGCAATTGTAAAGTTGCAACCAGAATTTTTTCTGGAAGCGGTCAAGTACCTTACAACCTTTTCTCTTACATTTTTTTGATTATTTTCACCAGATTTACGATCTAAGTATATCTGCCCATCAAGTGCATATCCTGTTTTACTTTCACAAAGATAAAAAAAAATTAATGCCGTATTTTGCAGGTTTCGATGGCATGTATTGAATAAAATTACAACGACCTCTAAATGCACGTAACTATTCGTTAATGGTTACATTTAATTCTGGTACCATAACTGTTCGGGACTGTTTTACAAACAACTTCAATACATACCGGACATAAGTAAATTTGTCATTTTTCAACCTAGTTGAACGTCTTCGTCGTTTGTCAAATCATATGAATCGTCTTCTATTTTCAAACCGATTTACTGCCATTGTATCTTTATACAGTGGGTTTGATGGTTTATATAAGAATAATTTTTTGACAGGCTTATCCCAGTTCTCGACACCAGCCAGTAGCAGCAGGCCAAAAATGCGTTCATTTCGTCTTTTTCAATTTTTGGCCATACCTTTCCCTTGGCCTCCAATATTCGGTTGGTTTCTCTATTGGTACATATTATTATTTTTTCAACCATTTTAGCAGTTGCAAATTGATCCCAAGCATTTATTGGAGACAACATTTCGTTTCTTACTTTCGGTCCCGCCGTGAAACGATATAGATTGTGAATTTTTGTTCGTCCTTGCAAAGGAGGCGTGGATTTCCATTCAAAATTGTTTCTGCTAATAAATGATGTACCTGCTGTTTCAATTGTTAAATTATTTTGATTGAAGTTCATATAATCACTACTCGAAGAATTTTCGGAATACTCTCTGAACTATCTTTGTATACTGCAGGCTGCTCGTATTCTTGATCAGTTTGCGATACTTCACTTTCACAAGTTATGAAATCGTTGTCATCGTCGTCATACCACGTACGTAAGATTTCCTTATAACTACTATCCTTGGGGTAAAAGGATCTTTTGCTACTCGAGGATGCCATAATGCTGGCCTGAAAATATAGAGTATTTTACTTAAAAGCTAACTTTTTGGATTTGAAAATACAATTTTTGTATATTACTTCCGTTTTAATAATCTGTTATATCAAAAATAAAAAAGTCTGTCGCGAAATAGCATTCGTTATATAACATGATTTTCCTTTTTTGATAAAATGTGTGAATACATTTTTGTATACTACTTCTGTTTTGATATCTGTAAAAACAAAAACACAGAAGTCTATCAAAAACGAGCACTCGTTATATAAAATGATTTTTCTAAACAGTAAGTCAAAAAAATATTTATCAATATTTATTTTTTTTACTACCTCACTTATAAAAATAAATTTTACTTTTTTATAAAAATAAAATTGTTGATAAAACAATTGACTAAGTAATAAACTGATCCGAAATTATTGCACGTACTTGAATAATGATGCGAATTACACAAATATAAACTATGAAAGCAGACAACGTACCCTTGACACTTCAAAACCTGACTAAATTCCTTTTTTCATATCTTTACAGTTTAAGCAATACGCACGTCTAATTCTATAGGGACGTATGTCAAAAACTTAACTTGTTGGGAAAAAAAAAACGCTGTTGCGTGTTACCCATGCTTTCTTTAAAAATTATTTTTTTTGTTTATAAATTACCTATTCCCAAAAATTTTTTCTTGATTGTTAAGTACGAGAATTGTTCTATAAAATACGGTAAGAAAAATTTTGTTTCTTAACTCAAAGTAGTCATTTTTTTTTTATTAAAATCAAATAATGTATTATACGTCTCTATTGAATTAAAAATGTAATAAGAACATGGCCACTAGGTATGTCCCATTGCGATATGCGTCAGTATTAAATTAATAAGCAATGACCAAATAATGACGAATGATGAATAACTCATTATGAAGAAATGTGTCTCTCTAGAACCATAAATTAGTTTCGACTTTTATATTAGAACGAGAAATGTCTTCATAGAATTAAAACTGGCATACAATTTTCTACTTGCATTAAAATTTGGGTCTCCATTGCATTAAAAGTACTCAAGTTATGTGAAATAACATGACAATGTGGTTTATACTATATAATAAACTTTTACAAGTTTATAGTTTTAATAGTCAAGTTAAATAAAAGACCAAGCTGAAAAATTAACATTTATTTACAACTTATTTAGAATTAGTAACTAAAAAAAATTAAACAAGGACATATTAATTTTGATACAAATGTTGTCTTAATTAATAATTTGTTTTTGTTTCGTGAATTAATCTTGCTGTTACCTATTCTATTTGCAGTATGTCATAGCAATGTGCATAAAAGTCCAGGATAAGATTTTTATTGAGAAAGTCTCTTGGATCAGTTTTTTGTGTTCTGATAGTGGAATTCTCTGCAAGAACGCAGGCTGCCAATTTAGGGTTTCCAGAGGCTTTAGTTTTTTTGCATTAAAGCTTCTCACAACTTCTTTATAATTTTCTGCATTGTGAGATTCTTTGTAAAAAAACGATGATGGCTTGTTTTTTTTTTACCTTAATTACTTTAATGTTGTTCCATTTTACTACATTGCCACTTTTGTTTTTGCTGAAATTACTCCCCCACTCCTCTTGTAGACTTTTTAAAGTATAGAAACTTTCACACTTTCAGATAATTCATGTATCATGAATGGTTTTCCAGTCTTTCGCGAATTTTTTATCAATGTTACATACTACTCCAGTGTATAGATGGGGCCAGATTTCAAATTAAGCTTTATTTGTTTTTCGATAAGACTATGAACGTTATCGGCTTCATTCTGTGTGTGACCAGTGATCATAAATTTATGTGTAATTGGTCTAATATTGTAGTTTGGGATGGCGAAGATGTAGGCAATATTGACAAATTTGTTCTTCTATTGTCTGCAGCAGTTATTAGATAAGAATATTATGTTCAAAGGTATCTGACTTTGATCAATGCATTTTTTAAAATATTTGAGCATACAGGATCCAATTTCATTCGCACTGCGTTTAGCTGTGACCTCAGTCCACAAAAAAGAGTGGACATCGCCGTACGCTGACTTGCTCTGTTGTGGGTTTGACAACTCCGTCATTCTGAAATTGTACGAATTGTGCTTACATTTATAATACAATGAAGACACATCAACATTGGGATACTGGAACACTGCTTGCAGGTCGTAAACTACTACTTTATTTTTTGGGGTTATGCCTAGTCTGTCTGCTTCTTTTTGCCATCTGCAAGCCAGTTTCTTTTCATGATGTTTTGTATATTTCTCCTCCATTTCTTCTTGACTTGATTGATCTGCATTACCATATGCGACACAAAGGTCGCATTGATCTTTTTTAGAGGTATGAAATGAAATATTAAAGTCATTGTTGAACACGTGATAATATGTATAATAGATGCCTGCCTTCTTATGTTTTCGTCCTCACTTTCTTGTTGTCTCCCTATGTTTCTTTAAAATCTCGATAGGGTTTAGCCATATATTCACGAGAACTGAAAGCTCTCAAATAATGAGATTCCACTCGTGGTATTAAATTTAAGTGCCTCTTGATGTCTTCTATTAGAACGGGGTTAATGATGTGATGATTTTCGTGACTGTACCAGATGAAGTCTTCTTCGTTAAAGCAGTGCGAATTATTTTTTCAGAAATGTCTAAAGTGTTAAGAAATAACTGCTGGCATACTCTCACTTTAATACCTTCCACTGCACGATGATAAGCTTTATTCCGATTTCTGGGCGTTTCTGTGTTGCTGTGCTTGTAGTTTGGTTTACTTCTATCCTACATGAAGTAAGGTATATTCTTTGTAAATTTATTTCACCTTGTAGTGTATAATAGTTTTAGTCTCGTTGTATGGTCAATGTTTGCAGAGCATTTTAGTCTGCATGTATTTCCACAAGGGGCTTGATGTTTCTCGATTGTTTAAGATGTTTGTTATAATTCGATATGTATATATTTTCCCCTAGTTTCTGTGTGCTTCAGACATCTTTTTTTCATTTGCTGGGTAGACCTAGACGTTTCTTTGATTTATCCTTCTCGTACTTGTATTTTTTTTTTAAATATATCTATTATGCGACGACTTCTTCCATATTCTTTTACGTTTCATTCTCGGATTTATTTTCCTAAAAAACAATACAGTAGCTATATTTTTCTTTTGATTGCAAATATTTACATATCACATTGAGATTTTTTAATTCTATGCAGACACAATATGGTTTACTTTGAAGCAATCTGAAGCTTTTTAATTATATACAAATTCATATTAAAATGGGGCAGAAATGGCATATAAAAAGTGTTAGATATTTAACACAACCCTATCGGAATTCCAAAAGCGACCTCTGAATGATATACCTTAATTCTATATTGTCATATTTTGATTTATGCACAGAAACAGAGTTTCATTTTAATTCCATACTGCCACTTTACGCATTGCATATTAAAAAATTAAAAAAATTTATTTCTATATACCTGTATTTCGAAATATGGCCGTCTAGTCTCAAATTCTGTCGTCGTCCTAGCTTGTTCTTTTGTATGAACACAGCTACTTCTTTGCAATGCGACGGCTCGTATACTACCACTCACTTCCAAGGCAGACGCAACACTAATACGCTCCGTATAGAAATAAATTTTTGTTAAAGAACGTTTATTTCGATAGAGACTCATATACTTAAATCTATGAGTGGCAGTTAGATAGAAACCAGTTTCTTAAATTAAACGATAGGTGGCCCTACATGGAACACAATGGCATCCGTAGTTTGATTTAGCCACATTTTGAGATACGTCCCTACAGAATGAAACGAACGAATAGATAAATGTGCGTAATGGAATAGTACCAAAGGATCGCGGTGATTCTCGACAAACCTTTGACCACTAATTCGATAACAGTCACCCGGACTCATGGTATGTATTATGGGGGTATAAATGGAAATTTTTTTTTTAGTTTTTTTGTGCATACTTTTTATTTTTTATACACTAACAATCAGTCATACATGTCAAAAACGAATTCGTAAATTGGCAATGATTGGTATGGATTTAGTCACATTTTACGAAGATATAAATGTATGCCCGAGTCTTTTAGACTTATGTTATGAATCCTAGGGTTAAATAAGCAAGGCAAGCAGAAAAAAACTATATTACTAGTAAAGTTTAAATATTTAAATTTTTTTTATTAAATTCTTGACCTATTTGAGAGAGAATATAGGTCAATTATTATTACTGACGTCATTATACTCCTTTTTTTGCAAAAATAAAAATGCTACCTCCCACATTCACCTTAAAACAGATCCGCCCTTGTCTATATAAAAAACATTGTGATTAAATAACAGTCAGTCGGCATTTATCTTAGTAATGACAAGGGTCGAGCGGTAACGAAATTGATGACGGTTGGGACCCGCAAAGGATCAAGAGAAACTGATTAGTTTTAACTAATACAATTTGATCAATTTGTGAGAACCTGTAAATTTATCTTTTTACCTGTATTACAAGAAATGATAGATAATGTTGATATGAATAGGTCAATAGTGTGGCTTAAATTGCACTTCCCTATTACAGTTCTCTGGTTTGAGTATTAGAAGTGACACACGATCGTTCAATGAAATGAAGTTTTAAATATAAACGTTGTTTTGTATTTAACAAATAAAGTCAATTTAGTCAACATCACCACTAAGCCATGAGCGTGATTGTTTAAACATTCTATACATATTTTGTTGATCTAAAATTTTCGACTATTTATGGAAGATATTATGTAAAATTAATTGCTCCTCTGTGTTCGAATTAAACGAAACTATTTTAGTAACTTTTTATAAAATTTCCAGATTGTTTATTACTGATTTTCACACATTAGTATTTTAAGGTACCTATAGCATCATATCTCAATAATGTGATGCTACATTACAGATCATAATATAACACATATGATGATATGAATATTAAATATTTCTTGTTCATTGCCAACTGTTGCCTATAAATCATCATCATCATCATGGTGGTATAGCCTTTAGATGGCATCGACCTTCTCAAGCTATCTACGCTA